GCTCCCTGGGATATGCTCACCCAAGCCATTCCAAGTTTAGGAAATTTAGGAAAAAGTTCTTTACAGTGAGGTTTGTGAAGCATTGGAAAGGGCTGCTTAGGGAGGTGGTGGAGGCCCCATCCCTGGAGACATTCAAGGTCAGGCTTGATAGGGCTCTGAGCAATCTGTTCTGAGTGTGAGATGTCCCTGCTTATTGTAGGGAGGTTGGACTAGAGGGCCTTTAGAGGTCCCTGCCAAGCCAAGACATTCTATGATTCTAAATTTGTCACCAAAAAAGTATGAGTGATTGACCTGGAAAAAGACAAGGCACTTTTGCTTTTCTTAATTTTAATACAGGATAAAAAAGGACGGGCTTGGCAGACAATTAAGGGAAGCTATTCCAGTCTAATTTTTTATTTGTAAAAACTCTGATGGCTCTAGTATCAAGCCTCACTCACTGGCTCTGGAGAAGGGCTTGCAGGAGCTTTGGAGGTGTCCAGCAGAAGTGACTGAAGACCAACAAGGCTGTTTCACTCTCAAAGGGTCAAATCATATTAGAAGCAACCCCAATGTTAACCCCTCCACCATACATTTCCACGGACTGACAAAAATTGTGTTGAAATTTTTATGTTTGAGGTAAAACTCGTGCCTTATCAATTGTTATATCCCTACTGGCAGTGAGAACACCAGTGCTTTGGAGTCAGTTTGCTCTGTGCCACCACATTGCTGGGGAAGTTGTTGCAAAATGTCCTTATCTATACTCTGTTTCTGATCTTCATCCTCCAGCTGCAGAGATCAGGAAACTTGTCTGTCTCTCCAGCTCTCTGCTCCTCTACAGCTGCTGGTGCCCTCCCTTTCCTTCACTCCTGCAGTACTAGTATAAGATGGAAGAGTTGAACTCCTTTTCCTCACCTTAATCACTATTCCCAGTGGCACCTGGAGTGGATCAGGCACCTTCTCTCCTCTCCCTTCAGATGCTCAACCTAGGTCATGACACTCTGGATCAGTTAAGGCTGTGGATGAGGTAGACTTTCAAATTCAGGCACCACGCGGTCTCTCTGGGTGACAGGATCAGAGCTGTCACCAAGCCTGCCCAGCTCCTAGCCTTGTGATCCCCCTCTGTGCTGCCAAATGGATTTCCATGCAAACACCAAGGCAGCACAAGTTGGAAATCAAAGCTCTTTTTCCTTCTGTGTTACATTAATTCTTTTTCTGAGGGTGTGCTTCAGCGCCAGGGACAAAGAGTTGGCCAAGGAATTAACCCAACATAGAAAGGAGCCTCTCAAAAGCAAGTGGAGATCAGCAGAGCTGCTCCTTGCTCAGCCCTGGAGCACAGCTATGCTGGGTCCCTCCTGCAGTGAGCCCACCTCAGGCCTGTCTCCCCCAGAACAATCTTGTTCTCCTGTAAGAGGACAAAACCTCCCTGGCAGAAGCAGCCACAGGTGAGGAACTTGCCTTGTCTTTTGGCTTTACTTGACTTTGATTGATAATTTCTTACAAACACCTTTGGGAACTCTGTCTGCAGGCAGTTGGCAGCATCATGCTCCAGTCCCAAAATCCTTCTGACCCATTATGTTCTGGCCTACAACTTTCCATGGGGGTCTCAGATGGGGTCTCTGCTGGCTTTGGCTCAAGAGGCAAAAAGGTCTCCAAGCAAAGCAGATGCTGAGGAAAAAAAACAACAACTCAGCAATATCCTGATCAGAGATAGTTTAAAGGGTGTAACTTGCTCTTCTGAGTCCTAAACTCTGGTCACAACAACATGAAACTGTGACTCCTCATGGGTGCCATGACAGCTCAGGGCCTTTTGAGATACATGATACAAACAATGCAAATGGATAAGATGCTGGATCTTCAAATTTAAAAAAGAAGGAAATCCATAATCCACAGCTCTCTCTTGTAGTTAAGTCAGGAGAGAAGACAAGGATGAAATGGGCCAGTAAGCACAGAGTATTCCCTTGCTGTCCATGAGGTCCAGGCTGAGGGAATGCAGAAGGAGAGAGCTGTCCTGTGCTCTGCACTGTGGCTGCTTTGGAGACAAACCTGCTTCACCTCCACAACGAGTCCCTCTGGCAGATTTTGCCTGAAGCTTCCTTGAGAGAATCTTTCCAGAAAGGCAAGATCAACAGGAAGATCTGATCCAGCAGGGAAATGTGTTCTGCTCTCCCTCTCAGCTCCTCTGTGCCCTGGGACAGGTCCCACAGCCAGTGCCCTTCCACTGTTTACTGCCAATGGCCAGAGAACTCAAAAACAAACTCCCGTTGACAACCCATTGTCACGTGCAGCTGGAAATGGCCAGTGCTTGGGACTTGTCCAAGCAGCTTAGAGCACTAAAGGGCAAGGACTGCCTTCCTGTGGCTCTGAAAATCCTCTGCTCCCCCTCTGCTGAGACCAGCACAACGTAACCAGTTGATCCTAGCCCTGGAGAAATCAGCTGCCCTGTAACTTCCAAGCTCCCCGTGATCCACCAACAAAATCCCATACAGAACGTTAATCCAGAGAAGAGTGGTTAAACTGTCCCAGTAAAATAACATCAAAGAAAAGTATTCACCCTCATGTTTTCTTAAGGATATTTAAGTAGCACCCAGAGCTGCTGCTGTGACCTTTTCTACAGGACACAAGACAAGCTGGTCTCTCCCTCCTCGGTCAGACTGAACACACCACACATGGGCAGATGGAGGGGTCACCAACTGCACTGATTAGTATTGTCTAGTTATAAGCTCAGTGTGTTGATAAGAAATGAACTAGAGATGCTGACAAACTATTAATATTTGCCTAAATCATTGTCCTCAAGCAGATTTCCACAGACCACACTGGATCAGCATGTTGTCTGCTTCAGAGACTGTCCTCAGTGCTTTCCAGGCCAGGCAAGGGGCTCTCCAGTGCCCCTCTGGTTTTGAAGGGCCAAGGGCAGATGTGTGAAAGATGCGGAAAATTCTAGTGCAAGAATCATAAAGTCACCAGAACTACAGTGCCAGTATTTTTTTTCCCATTTATTTCTCTGCTAGAGTTGCCTCCACCTTAAGGCACGAAGGAATTGCATCCCTTGGAGAGACAGGAGCAGGGACATAAAAGCCTGTTCATCCAGCTGCCCCAGAAGCAGCTCTCTCCATGGAGGAACAGCACCCTCCACAGACACACCATCACTTTCCCCCACTCTGGCCTTCCAGTTCCAAGCCCAAACTCTTTGGCAAACACTGCTACATCCTTATGGCATTCCAGGCTGCACAGGCAGGTGAGTCTTGGGACCACTCTTGGCTCTCCTGGGGCTGCCTGTGCAGCATCCTCTGCCCTGGACTTCACACCAATCTTCTTTCCCTCTCTCTCTCTGTCTCTGTCTCTCTCTCTCTCTCGGCAGCTGCCCAAAGCCAAGCCTGACTCACCATGGCTCCCTGCCAACAACATAACGTTTATGCTGTTGCTACAAAAACCACTGGCAAAGCTGACTTTTCCAGCATCAGGGACTTGTCCAAGGAGAGAGCAAACAATGCACACTGAAGTGAGCCGATTACAATGACTTCAGAGTAACAAATTTAATGTAAATGCAGCGTTTGGCACAGGTTATGGTTTGAAGGAAAACTGCACTGTCATTTTAGCTGGCGTCTTGCAGCTGCAAATCAGTGTGTTGTTATTAATCGATGGGTCAGGGCAGCTGCTGAGGGGAAACACCAGCCCTGCCTCCCAGCAGGGAGCCCGAAGCAGGAGAGGACTGAACTGCCCTGTGGCCCAGCCAAGCCTGCCTTTCCCAAACTTGTCAGCCCGCTCAGACCAACGCTGTGCAGGAGCTGACTCGTGCAGGCCGGGCAACACGCTGATCTTTGTGCCCGCCTGCAGTAAAGATGCTCCTTGGCCTCACGGAATGATATCACGGATTTTCCTCCCTGCCGAGATCCCCCGGGGGCCGCTCCCGGAGGATCCA